TAGTGAAGAAAACAGAATGGACCCTAAGGGGCCACTTGAACACCATCAAGCGTACCAACAGACACCTGACGGCAGTCCAGAAGGAAAGGAAAAAAGAAAGAAGTAGTAACCAAAGAGCAAGCACGCTTGATGGAAGACTTTCACTCACATGCCCGAGAAACGCAGTGAGTCCCAAGTAAGATAAACTCGGAGACACCAACATAGGCACGTCTGAGGCAAGATGCCGAAAGTCGGAGAATTCTAAATGAAGAAGAGAGTAACTCAGCCGGCACAAGGGACTAGAATCCAGAGCTGCTGTCTCTTCAGAAACTGTGGCGCCCAGAGGCCGTGGGGGTAGCACAGCCCAAGTGTTAAAGTCTCAGACCGAGAATTCACACTCGGCCAAGTGAGCCTTCCAAAGTGGGGAGACACGCAGACTTCCCCGGATTGTGTAACCCACCTCACCCGAGGACACAGAGCGTGGGGTCGGTGCTGAGGCCCAGTGGGGTAAGCCCGGGCTGCGGTGCCGGCGTCCCGTAGAAGCTCCAATTGGAGTCCCAGCTGCTCCACTTCCAACCCAGTAACTTGCTGATCTGCCTGGGAAAGCGGCGGAAGATGACCATGTGCTTGGGCCTCTGCTACCCACGTGGGAGACCCAGCTGAAGCTCCTGGATCCTGGCTCGCCTGGCCCAGCCCTCACCGTTGAAGCCATTTGGGGAATGAACCGGTGGATGGAAGATCTCTCTCACTCCCTCTCTCTGTGTAACTCTGACTTTCAGATAAGTAAAAAGATCCTTAAAAAGAAGAGTGTGCGTGCTGTCCCTGAATGTGGTTAGAGGCCGTGTGTGCCGTAGGCTTCGCCTGTAACCCAAGCCTCTTTATCTTGTCACTTCCCCCTGCTATTGTTCCCTTTGGTTCTTTGGAAAAATTCTTACCCACCATGTATAATGAACGTCTTTTTAATATTATGCCTTCCTTCCCCAAAATCTATTTATATACCACTAAGTCAAGCTGTGCTAAGACACCACTTTGGCATTCGGTTACAACTCTACATGATAATTTCCCACTTGAAACAACAATTATTTTATCAAGGAGACACAGCTGCAAACACAGCAATTCCTCTGAGCCGCCGTTAGCTGAGTGCTCCCCGCTGTCTGGCCAGATGTGGAGCTGCAGCAGTGAGCTCCCTTCACAATGGGGAGCGCGCAGGGAGTGAGCACAGGGCCGCCTGCCCAGGGTGCAGCTCCGGCCCCGCCGCCAGCCCTGGCCCCAGTGCGCTCCTGCCCTCACCCTCTGCCTCTCGCCCTGTCCACCCTGGGCCTCCTGCCCTCACCCTCTGCCTCTCGCCCTGTCCACCCTGGGCCTCCTGCCCTCACCCTCTGCCTCTCGCCCTGTCCACCCTGGGCCTCCTGCCCTCACCCTCTGCCTCTCGCCCTGTCCACCCTGGGCCTCCTGCCCTCACCCTCTGCCTCTCGCCCTGTCCACCCTGGGCCTCCTGCCCTCGCCCTCTGCCTCTCGCCCTGTCCACCCTGGGCCTCCTGCCCTCGCCCTCTGCCTCTCGCCCTGTCCACCCTGGGCCTCCTGCCCTCACCCTCTGCCTCTCGCCCTGTCCACCCTGGGCCTCCTGTCCCCACTTCCTCTAAGTCTCAGAAGCAAGTCGCTTCAGCGCATTCTACTGTCCATTGCTGCCACTCCAGAAAGTCCTCGTGTTATAAAGTCTCCCAGGACTGAAATTATCCGTGCACCGGTGTTCCCGGTTCTTCCCTCCCTGGGGGCCGAGCGCAGCGCCTGCCGGGGTGTTCAGCAAGTCCCCACATGTGTCCCCCCAACCCAGCAGTGATGACTTCAATGTGAAAAGGCCCTGGGACTGGCAGAGCTGCAGTCAGGATTTCTCAGCACACGAGGCATTCCTGCTAACGACCGTGAGAACCACGATTGTAAAAGGGGCTGAAGATACCAGCAGTCTCGGCTTCCAAAGCAGGGAGTCACTGAAGGTTCGCACGATGGAGGCACGTAGCTTTTTTTTTTTTTTTTACAGGCAGAGTGGACAGTGAGAGAGAGACAGAGAGAAAGGTCTTCCTTTGCCGTTGGTTCACCCTCCAATGGCCGCCGCGGCTGGCGCACCGCGCTGATCCGATGGCAGGAGCCAGGAGCCAGGTGCTTCTCCTGGTCTCCCATGGGGTGCAGGGCCAAGCACCTGGGCCATCCTCCACTGCACTCCCTAGCCACAGCAGAGGGCTGGCCTGGAAGAGGGGCAACCGGGACAGAATCCGGCGCCCGACCGGGACTAGAACCCGGTGTGCCGGCGCCGCTAGGCGGAGGATTAGCCTAGTGAGCCGCGGCGCCGGCCCACGTAGCTCTTTTCAAACACAGCAGATCCAGCCTGTCCGTGTCACAGAGCGTTGGGGATTCTTCAGGAAATAGCGCATCTTGTGCTGGAGAAATATTTTCTTGAAGTTCCACCACTCCTCCATTTCCCTTTATTAAATTTAAGTAAGTGTGATTTTATTTATTTTTAATATTCACTTGAAAGAGTGACAGTGAGATCACGCCTCCATCCACGGATTCACTCCCCAGGTGGCCGCAGCAGGTGGGACTGGGCCAGGAATTCCAGCCGGGTCTCCCACGTGGGAGGCAGGGGCCGAGCACCTCGGCTGTCACGTGCTGTCTCCCCAGGCCCGTTCACAGGAAGTGTTTAAAACGCTGCCGCTAAGTAGAGACGCAGGGGAGGAAGGTCTAGGAGGGATTCCATGATGTCGACAATTCAGAGGGCAAGCAGCGAGGGCTCATGCCAGCCTCCTGCCCTGCGACGCTCGGTCACACAGACTGCAGACTCCGAGGGCGGGGTGCTCTCGAGAAGGCCTCCGGGCACACTGGGCACCCCCACGGCCTGGGGAGCACACACAGCTGTGCGGCCCCTCTCACCCCGCCCCCACTCCTGCCACCTGGGAACCCTCCTATCAATCACCCGAACAAGTTCCTAACGCTGTCCTGGTGTTGAAGTGCAAGTGCTTTTAATACGGAACAACTGAAATGTATTTTCTACCATTATTTTTGCTCACTTAATTAGTTTAACCAGGGGAGCTAATCAGCTCTCAGTGTTTACTAAAATCCTGGCAATTATCACCCTGCGTTCTCCTCCCAGGTTTGTGCCCCTTTCGTTCGTTTGCTGACACTCCTTGAGATCAGCTCACAAATGAGCTCCGTCTGGAAATCCTTACCAATTCTACAAGGGATGGTCCCTGACCCCTCGGCCTCCGGGAAACCATCACGGAGTCTTCCTCAGCTGCTTCGCTCTCTGGACGCTGCCGTCCTAAACAGGGTCAGTTTATTTAATACCCCACAAAGTGAAGAGACGGAGGCAGCATTCATGCGTTAAGACCAGGAAAATGCAGACGTTTCTCCTCTCTCCCGACTGTGGAAACTGCGTGGTACGGAAGATGCAACTTTAAGGAATGTTGTTTTGGCTGCTGCTGTGGGGGTGGGGTGTGGCCGTGGCTCTCAGCGGGGGGCTGCACAGTGAGCACCCCACAGCCCTTCGTCCCTGGAAGACGGTGCAAATGCTGCGTGAGAATGACTTCTGGAAACATGTTCACTGATTGAGTGGTAGATTATTTTTTTGAAGTTTTCTAATTTTTAAGTGATTTCTTTGTTTATTTGAAAGGCAGAGTTACAGAGAGAGGGGGAGACTCATCCGCTGGTTCGCTCCCCGGATGGCCGCAACAGCCAGGGCTGCGCCAGGCTGAAGCCAGGAGCCAGGAGCTTCTTCTGGGTCTCCCACATGGGTGCAGGGGCCCGCGCACTTGGGCCATCTGCCGCTGTTTTCCCAGGCTGTTAGCAGCGAGCTGTTACCAGTCGCGGGGGAAGAGGGGTTGCAGCGTGAGTGCCCATTGGATGGGGGTTTCACATACCGTATGCTGATTGGCTTGGGGCTCATAGAGATAGCGGGGGTCTCTTGGAGACAACCCAATTCTCCTTAGGGCCTCGGCCCCTTCCTCTGCCAGCTCAGCTTGGAAGACCACAACCAACTTGAAGGCATGATTCAAAGCTGCAAGGTCACACACGCATCACAAGGAGCTATAGTGGGGGAGGCACGGGTCCGTCTGGAGACAGGCCTTCCAGCCACAGCTGGCTGCCTGCTTGTGAGGACATTCTACCGTGTCTCAGGGGCCACAGACTCCCAGTCCCGCCTGATACCCTCAGGAGCCAGGTCAGAAGTGCAGCAGCCGGGACACAAACCAGTCCCGGCATGGGATGCTGGCATCACAGGCAGTGACTTCATCCACTACACCACAATGCCAGCCCTCAATTTTTAATTTCTTAAGCTTTTATTTATTATCATTTTGAGAGGCAGAGAGAGTTCTTCCATCTGCTGGTTCACTCCCCAAATGCCTGCAACAGCCAGGAGCCAGGAGCTCCATCCACATCTTGCACTTGGTGGCGGGTCCCAAACACGTGAGCCGTCATGTGCTGCCCGTCCCCCCCCCCCCCCCCGGGTGTGCATTAGCAGCAAACTGTACTGGAAGCAGAGGAGCCAGGACCCAGACCAGGCACTCGAACACGCTGCGCGGCCTCCCCTGACCTAAGCACGGAGACAATCGCTTGTCCTAGTTTTTTTGTTTGTTTGTTTGTTTTTAAAAGAAGAAAAGAAAACACTAGGAGAGACTTTTGGGAAATTCCCCGCTAGGATCGGTCCCAGGCAGCAGGGCGGTGGAGCGTGGTAGGGGTGGCCGGTGGGCTCAGGGGCCGTGGGGAGCTCCCGGCCCTGTGCTGAAGGTGAGATGTTTCTGTGCAGGGAAGGAGCGCTGGGGGCGCATTCTCCCTGTGGGAGGGCAGGCCGTTGGCCACACTGTCGCAGTGCCAATCCTCCCTCTTCGGTGAGCTCCGCTCCAACTCTGCCTTCCTCACTGATGGGACAGTGCCATCCAGTTAACCTTGTGCCCCCAGGACCTAACTTGCCTGTCCCAGTGCAAACTGGAAACTCAGGACCCCTGTTAAAACGTCTCTAGACTTCGATAACCCGCAATTGATTGGATAAATTTCTGAAGCCTTCTATGAAAAGTGCATGTGCAATCTGATTACACTGTGAGACTGAGGCGTGGGGGAAACTGTGAGGACTTTTAATACACTATGTTAGGGCAGCAGGGCATCCGACCGAGCCCAGCCAAGCTGGCCAGGACCCACGCCCGCGCAGCTGGTCCTGCCTGCAAGGATGGGACTGTTTGACCAGCATTGTCCAGTGTGGAGCCACTGGCCTTGTGTGGCTATTGAGTATTTAAAATACTGTGTGCAGTTGTGGAATTGATTTTTTTAAAGATTTATTTGTGTGCTTGAAAGAGTTACAAAGAGAGGGGGAGAGACAGAGAACTTGTATCTGCTGGTTCCCTCCCCAGATGGCCACCCTGGCGTAAACCAGAAGTCCAGAACTCCTTCTGGGTCTTACTGATGGCTGGCAGAATCCCAAACACTTGGACCGTCGTGTGCTGCTTTCCCAGGCACATTAGCAGGGTGCTGGGTTGGAACTGGAGCAGCCGGGACTCGACCGGTGCCCATTTGGGATGCCAGCATTGCAGGTGCCAGCTTAACTCGCTGCACCGCAGTGGCAGCCCCTGGAAGTGAATTTTACTTCCTCTTAACTGAAGTTAGACACCTATGGTTAGTGGATACCATATTCAACAGCACAGCCAGCGTCCCAGGGTTATTTTGGGAAATGGATGAGTTGGCCTGTCTGAAATTCTTACAGTAATGGCTAGGGAATAATGATTGTTGGCTTTAACATGTAATACTTATTACTATAAGCATGACCCAATTTTTTGTCAGGTATTCACTTCTCTGGAATAAAAAAAAAAAAAAGTCATCCTGTTACTCTTGCCAAAGACTGGCTCAGCCATGGGCACAAGTTTAGGCCTGCTGGAGGCTGAGTCATTTGAGAATTCGGTTATTAATTACTGAGATTTGACTTAATTCACTTGTTACGTACTTTTATTTATAAATTTGCAAGCCGTCTCTACATGGCTTCCTCAGCTACTGATATTTTTGTCGTTTCTCTGAGCTCAGACCGGACTCACTCCTAACGCAGGCGAGATTTGACACTCCTTGAGGTGGCATCGTCGTAGTGGAACAGGAAGCACTTCACCTGGTCGGGCCTCGGGCGCTTTGCTGCGAACGCGGGTGCTGAGAGACAGCAGGGTCGGGCACAGGCCCTGGACTCAGACTTCGGGACGGAGCTACCCTTTCCCGCAAGCTGGCGATGCTCTGGTTTGTTTATCTGTATAAAGCGAGAGCAGTCCCAGTCTGCACCTCCCAGGCTGGGGTGGGAGCTGAAGGAGAGGAGCCCGCACACCGTCAGTTGTTCTAGAACGTTGGTCTCCTCACCCCAGTCTCAGCTCGCATGCTTCTCTGATCCTCAACAACCTTCGCAAGAGTCAGAGACCCCAGCGGTCAGGTCTGAGGGCTGGCACTGGGGCATAGCGGTTAAGCCACTGTCTGCAGCACCCGTGGGCACTGGTTCAAGTCCCAGCTTCCCCACTTCCGATTCAGCTCCCTGCTAATGGCCTGGGAAAGCAACGGAAGATGGCCCACATGCTTGGGCCCCTGAACCCACATGGGAGACCCAGATGAAGCTCTTGGCCCCCAGCTTTGGCCTGGCCCAGTTCCAACCCAGCCCCAGCCGTTAGGACCATTTGGGGAGTGAACCAGCAGGTGGAAGCTTTCTCCCTCTCCTTTTCTCTATAACACTGCCTTTCACATAAATATAAATCTCTTAAAAAAAAAGACATCAGATCTGGGTGGGGAAATTGCAAGTGAGAGGCACAGGAGGCGCAAAGCACGGTCCAGCCCTGAATTGGCCCGTGCTCTTGGACATGGACGTGGTAGCTGGTACTGAGAAGAGAAGAAACAGTTTGTTTTGAAATTTTAGTCGCTGCGGCTACTAAAACCCAAGCAGCTGTACGTCCTGGCAAGCAGCCTTGCAACTGCTCAGCTTGGGGGTCTTCTGGGGACCTGTTTTTCCATCCAGAAAATGGGCACATTTGTGACCGAGGTGATTTCTCATGGAGGACTGGGCTTCAAGGACAGAAGGCCCTGCAGAAGGAAATGCGTTAAGGAACGAACAGGGTTCACATGGGCTGTTGTTCTCGCCAGAAGAGCTGCGAGCCGTTGGCTCAGCCCTGGAAGGCATCAGATGGCAGGATGCAGACAGCCGCGTGCGCACTCGGTAATCTGGAGCGGCTGCAGCCTTTTGTTTGCTTTTCAAAAGCTCAGATTCCACTGAAAATTCCACTGTTATTCTCTTTTCACGGCACTTCTGCAGAGGCTCCCTGATTTGAATAATTACATACTGAACCGTGGGTAGGACTGGGGCTGGAGTTGATGGCGAGGGCTGGAAGCAGAGCCGACTGCTTCCTGCCACGGAGCTGCAGATGCCTGCGCAGCGGAGCGTGCAGCCAGCGAGTGCTTCCAACAGACGAAGCTCTTAGCTCGTTCCATAGGAAACAGGCGAAAAAAGCACAATTCCCCTCGTAATGAGAGAGCAACAAATCAAAGCTACACTAAGATACCATTTTTTCAATCTAGCAGTTTGACGAAACTCTGAAAATGTGACACAGACTGTGTTGGCAAAGCTCAGAGGAAGCGAGTCCCCTACAAGGTTCACGGTCTGCGGGAGAACTCGGCAGAATCTTCCAGACTTGCCAGTGGAGCCAGCAGTCTCACTTCCGGGATTTGATCCACGGCCGTGCTTGTGCTTGCTACGTGTTTTGAAGTTGAGATGAAATTCGCAAACCACAGGGTCACTGCTCTCACGCACAATTCCGCGATTTCCGGCTCCTTCACAGGGTAAGCGGCCATCGCCGCTGCCTGATCCCTGACCGATTGCATCAACCCGTCCCATCTGCTCTCCTCACCAAATCCTGCGCAAGCGCTCATCCCCGTCTGTCCAGTGGATTTGTCCACTCGGGACCTTCCACAGGAGAGCAAGCAGAACGGCCAAGTGCGTGGCGTTTTGCACCCGGCTTGCTCCGCTCAGGGTGATCTGTGCAGGGGTACCCGCGGGGCAGGTCCTGCCAGACTCTGCTCTTTGTGGCTGAATACTACCCCACGGAGCGGGAGCGGCGCCCTCGCTCACCCCCGCCTCAGCTGCTGCACCTGTGATTGGCTCCGGTTTTTGACATCACAGACAATGCGGCAGGGAATACTTGTGCACAAGCTTCGTGGGAACATGCTCTCCATTCTCTTGGGTGTGAGCCTAGGAATGGAGTCTCTGGATGGGTGATGACTCAGTGTAACTACAAGGCTGTTTACTGTAGCGTTGTATGTAGCAGCAAAACCACAGGGAACAGTCAGTGTGTTCAACAGTGGAGGCCTGATGAAAGAAACAATGTCACTTCCACGCAAAGGACACTGCACACCCTTAAAAACAGGAGAATGGTCTCTGTGCACCCGTAAGGAAAGATTTTCAAAAGTATTCCAGGCCAGCTCTCTGCTGTGGCCAGGGAGTGCAGTGGAAGATGGCCCAAGTGCTTGGGCCCTGCACCCGCATGGGAGACCAGGAGCAGCACCTGGCTCCTGGCTTCGGATCAGCGCAGTGCGCCGGCCACAGCAGCCATTGGGGGGTGAACCAACAGAAGGAAGGCCTTTCTTTCTATCTCTCTCTCTGTGTCTAACTCTGCCTGTCAAAAAAAAAATATTAGCAAAAAAAATCCAAAAAGGGGCAGTGTCCTGACTTAGCTTTGCAATAAGACAATGAAGGAGCCTTGAAAGCTTACACAGAAAACTGGGAACTACCAGGTGAAAGGTCAGACAGTGGGTGGGTTACTTCTAATACACAGCCTTCCATGTGGCTTTCATTTTAAACTGGCTGAGTAGGTGACCCATTCAGAATAAAATCCAGAACGCTTCTGTAGAACGTGAGTGTGAGAGCTATTAGTTATCTGAGATGACTCCAAGCCAGGTCTGATCTGGGACAAATTACGTTATGAGGGCACTTGTCGCTCCCCCATTCGCGGAGGAACGACACAGGATCCTGCGCTGTTCTTTGGTCTGCTCGGTCCTTCCCGGGTTTGCTGCTGGTTCTTCCCGGGTTGGCTGCCGACCCTTCCACCTCCGTGGAGGGGCGGCTCCCCCTGCCACTTTCCCCACTTCCACGGAGGAGCAGCACACCGCCGGCCGGCTCTCTCGGGGGCTGCTCAGGTGTTCCTTCAGATAGATGTTCCCCTTAGATGTTCCTGGTGCATGTTGTCTCTCTCCTCCTTTATAGTCCTCTTCCACCGATCCCAACTCTGCTACCCACACACGGAGCATGCTGCTCTCCTCCAATCAGGAGCAGGATCAGCTCCTGCAGCTCATCAGACTGATGAGGCAGCTGCGTAGAGGTTGTTTGGTCTCTTTCTCTCAGCGCCATATTGTGGGAGAGCAGATGCATAGAATAAGTCTTAATTCCAGTAACTTAGTCTAGTCTCAGTTGCTCCCCACAGGCACTCTTAAAAATTATTTTATTTATTTATTTGAAAGTTCGAGACAGAAACAGACAGACATCTTCTGTCTGCTGGTTTAATCCTCTAAGCTCTCAACACAGGGCAGGGTCAGACGGAAGCTCCCAGTTTAGTCTAGAACAATCTGGGTCTACCGCATGGATGGCAGAGACCCTAGGTGCTTCGTGTACCACCTGCCGCCTCCCAGGATGCTCCTTAGGGGGAAATTGGGTCAGAAGTGGAGCAGGGACTCGAGCCAGCCCTCTGACATGGGAAGCGCGCATCCCACGTAGTGGCTTAACCTCAGCACAAGTGCCTGCCCCACGGGCACACGGTGTTAAGAGAAATCAAGTGATATTTTACAGTTACAAATATAGCATCTATCTAATCAGATTCAAAGTCACTTAACCAGAAGCTAGTTCCATAAGAAAAACAGGCGGCACCCGATCATCCATAGCAGTTTCTGACGGTGCCTGGAATTGGAGAGCAGCAGCCTTAGACACAGAGACGCAGTTGGCCTCTCTGCACCTTGGAGCCAGGGTTCCGGGTTGGGAAGAAACCCCAGGTTATCCTGCACACGTAAGTTTGAGAACCTATAGCCTCATAAAGTGCCCAGAAAGATGGCTTTTA